ACTGCCTCTCATCGTAGCGGGATGTGTAGTGCTTCCTGCAAGGCCAAGAGCATGGGTGAGTGCATGGCCAGGAGGCTCCCATCACCCCCCCAACCCAGGCACTGCACCCCTCCATGCCCCCAGTACCTCTCAAAGGGCAGGCTCTTCATCTTCGCTTTCCTCCCGTGCTCCAGCAGCTGCCTCTGCGTCCTCCCACTGCAGCAAGGCGGGGAAAGGCGCAAGCACCACCATCAGCCCTGGCCCCGGGCATCCCCGCGTCCCAGGGGAGGCGCAGCAGGACCGAGGCAGCGGTCTCTCCAGGGAGAGCAGCTATCGGGCATCATACCCTCGCATCCAGCCAGCGCCAGCATAAAGGGGAGGCTCAGAGCCATTCCCCACACCCCTCCCGGCCCCACGGGTTTGGTTTTCCCCTGGGACTTTACCTGTAGCGGAAACTGGAGCCCTTGCTGCACAGAAGGGCTTTGGGCTTTGACTTGGGCTCTTCAGACAGCCTGAAGAAGGCATGGTACTCCACGCATGTCTTCCAGAAAGCCTTGCAGGCATCCCGGCTCGCCATGGTGAACTCCAGTGTGTCCTTGCACAGTGCCTGCACGGCCGGAGACAAGCGAGCCTGTGTCAGGGGGGCAGGCCAGGCTCTGCCATTCGCCCTCCTGACCCCCCCAAAGGACCTGGGTGGCTGGCAGTGCAGCGTCACCCCGCTGGGGACACAGGGGTGGCACATGCCATGCGCGGGGATGTGGGGGGGGGAGGGGAGGCGAATCATCCATGAGCAGCAGAAATGGATTTTATTCAAAATCAGGGATTTTGCGTGGGTGATCCTCGGTCCACAGCTGCCTGCTCCTGAACCTGGCAGCTGTCTGCAGCGCAGTACTTACAGAGATGTTTGCATGGAGCTTGATGAGAAAATGCTTCCTCTTGAAACTCAGTTTGCGAATTTTGGACCAGTTGAATGTGTTGATCTTTGTATTGCCCTGCAAGGACAGACGCAGCAGTTAAAGCAGGACAGGGCAAATCAGAATTGCAGAGGTACGATGGGCCAAGTCCTGAGCTTGCAGAACACTGCACGAGACCCTGACGCAGCTCTCACTGCTGCTGGGGTCTAAGGAAAGGGTGCCAGGATTTGGTGGTTGATGCTCCTCTCCATCAGCTGGTCCCAAAAATGGGAATTGACATTCAGGGCTTAACTCTGCCCACTGAAGCTATTTGTAAAACTCCAGGATCCCAAGACAAACCTCACAGAGGTGAAGGCAGAGCATCCCAGCCATCCCAGTTCACGAGTCAGGCGTCTTAGTGCAACATCATCCCCCCAAAATAAATAACACCCTCCTCTCCTTTGCTGGGAAGCATAGCAGAGCTCAGCTCACGCCCACGCCTTTAGACCCAGCTTAAGCAGTCTTCAAGCATACTTTACCCCTCATTATCATTATGCCTCAGTTTAGACGCAGCCACACAATGCTTGTGTCACGGCAGGACCAGGTAAAATTGCGTTACTCCATGCTGTGGCACCGGGACCCTCTCAGCTTTCTGGGAGAGCCAAGATTTTAATGGGCTCACAAATGCGCTAATCATGCGTGAGGGGTGTTTATGGCTCTGAATAAATAACCAGGTCTGGCAGCGCTAATTACGAACAGCAGACCCACAGTTAGGAATTTTTTTTTTTCCTGCTCTGGCAAGATGTTCCCAGGTTGAAATTAGCTGGTGTGGGAGGCAAGTGCTGCTTCACGCCGGCTGCGAGGAAGTCTGTATTTATTCTGCAGCTACACCGTGATTACAGCGTTATGTAATTGCACAGACGTGAGGTGGCTATTTTCGCTGGAAGATTATACAGTGAACACATGTGACGCAGCCGTGTAACCTGCGGTGCTTACATAGCCGTGCTCGCCGTGACAAGGGCCAACAGAGCCGGGGTGGGCACGGTGGTGAGCAGCTGGCGCTGATGGGGATGGATGGCCCCCCCCCCCGCAGCCATGACCCCAAGCGTCACCTCCGCACCCAAGGTCTGTCAGGGCATGGTCCTTCTTGTAGGATTTGGGAAGGTTTGGAGCACACAGTGGGGAGCAGAAGGTGATGTCCTTGGGGAAAGGCCACCCCACCTGGGTGCTGGCAGCCCACCCCGAGCCCCGGGCTCACCCGCAGGACCAGCACTCCCATGTGTGTCACGGCCAGGTTGATCTGCGTCCCCTCGCCGTCGCTGGCGGGGTGCGGGCGAATCCCGTACATCTCCAGCTTCCTGGCCACATCCAGCAGCTGAACGTCTGACTCGGCCGGTGTCTTCCCCCGGGAGACACAAACACAACAGGAAGCAACAAAAGTGAGAAGGCAGCCACTGAAATGGGCCGAAAAAATGCCATTTTGGATGTGCACATGCTGGCATCATACCCACCCCACTGCCGGCCCTGCCTGCTGATGGGAACTGCCCCATTGGCAGGGGGCTGTCGGGTGCTTTGGGTGGGCGGCCGTGGCGCGGAGCAGCCCTTACCGGTGTCTCCGGTGGTAGTGCATGATCTTGTTGTCCAGGTACTCCTGGTTGGGCAGGTACCTGTGGCTTGCCAGGTGCTGCTGGTCCGTCTCCTCGTGGAAGTCACCCAGTTCTGCTGCAGGGGACACGGGGAGAGCGGGGTTAGGCTGCGAGGGGTCACTGCAGGGGGAACCCCTGGCTACGCAGCCAAAGCAAAGCCCCCCGGGGCCCCCCTCCCTGGGGAAGGGGCACCGTCCCTGCGGGTACTCGCCTCCCCTTACACTGCAGCAGGTGGGAGACGAGCAGCGCCGCGCTCTTGTCGCTGCAGGGCAGCCGCCCCAGTGCCAGGTCCTTCTTGATCTGGAGGGTGAAGAGGTACCTGTGGAGGGGGACAGGAACATGCCCTGGCACTGGGCTGAGCCCCAAGGGCTCTACTGCAGGGGGGCTGTCTGCCCCCATGACTCTCCCTGCGCTTGCCCATGTTTCAGCCCAAGGGATGCAGGTCCGCGGGGTCACGGGAGGCGCATGCAGCCTCCACAGAAGGGTGCACCTGGGCTTCACCATGACCTGTATGACCCTGCCATTGAAATGCCCATTAGTGGGTTTCAGAGTTAACATTCCTTTATGCTTTGGAGGGATTTTGCACCTCTTGGGGCTAATGCTCTGCAGAAGCACCGTCTTAAGTCTAATTCTTAGTTCCTGTTCACAACACATTCTCTAAAATATAAGAACTAACAATGTCATTTTTAAAAATAAAGTTCTTCTTTCAGAACACAGCTTGAGGCAGGAGCTAGACTGAGCAAAATCAGACTTGGTGCCCAACTGCTAAAGTGTTTGACAGTAAACAAATTGCAGCCTCTTAAGACAGATGATCCTTCAAGTGGATTTTATTTAAAAACAGGACCAAGAAAATATGCTCGCTCGGTTTTTGTTTTCTAAAGTATGTAACTCTTTCAATACTTAGGATAATCATGGCTTACAGACAGGTTTGGGTGGATGAAGATAAGGCATTAAATACATGCTTCATAATTGCAAAAATATAGGACTGTGAGGTAAGAAAGTAATAGAACAAAAGTACTGTACCTGGTCAGCTCTTCTCTCAGATGGCTGGGGTCCACTGGGAAAAATTTCACCATAAATTTGAAAAGAACCTCCTTAGGATCTTAAAACACAACATCTTCATAAGTTTCCTTTTACATGTCTATTGAGAACATTTACAATTCTCTTCACGCATGCTGTCTCCTTACAGAGTAAATTAATCTGGGCCCTTACAAATCAGGGCTGGAAGCCATGAGCATCAGGGACTCCAGCCTGCCCCCCGCGACCGGCCTGCCCAGACCCCCAGCATTACCCATGCAAGCAAAGATGGAGCTGGGTGCCTAAATAATATTAAAGATAAAATGCCCCAGCAATTCTTTAAATTGCAAAGACCCCTGCCAGGAGGGGGGTGGTTCGTGGAGTGGTACCATGGGTGCTTGTCTGGAGTGTGGCCATCAGTGAGGCTGTACATTAAATCCAGCCCTCCAAGCACTTGGGATGCAACAGCCCCATAGGATGCTGTTTGGGCAAAGCTTTTTTGTGGGATGAGTGAGAGCAAGCAGCCAAGCCCAAGGCAAAGAGCATGGAGGGAGGGAATTTTGTAGGCACCGACTGTCCCAGGACACCATGGGTCAGCTCAGGAGCTCCTGGAGGGACAGGATTCTGCAAGAGCAGGCCAGAAGGGACATGGAAAAAGAAATTGGTGCTTGAAATAATCCCACTTCTGGTGCACACAGAAAGGGATCCTCTTTATCAGGCTTTCTCCTTACAGAGAAATTAATGCAAACACTGTACTGCAGCCTCCCCATGGCAAATACTGGGGTCATGGCTTCGTGCTCTTGACCACCTCCTGGTCATTACATATTTGGGCAAAATATCATTTTTCATTGCAGGGGTGGAAACAGGCACAGGCTGAAAGGGGCACTGCATTAACATTGGTTGTGGCTATAGCAGGGGATGCTGAGCCTGAATTCAGGTCAGGCTCCGCAGCATCTCCGTGCAGCGGCACGGGGGGCTGGGACCTGGAGAGGAGCAGCAGAGCCTGCAAGGCACACGGCTAACCCTGCTTCACGCAGGGCTTGCGCCGCACAGGCGTCTGGGCTGCTGAGAGCTGCAAAGGGGAAAGGAGGGCATGCGGGGAGCGATGCCGGCTGCTCTGCCAGCACAGCAATGCACGCACACGCGCACACGCAGCTGCCCCTGCTCCTCCGCCAAGCTGTCAAGTAATTAACAGCTCAAGCCTAAAATGGTGCAGATACCAGATTGCAAAGGTATTTCTACAGGATTTTATATGGACTGTGGTGTCTTTGCAAACAATCCTGGCCAGCCTCATGCTATAAAATGAGCTCAGGTAAATGCTGGAAACCAGAGCCCCCGTTCCCAAGCAATAACGCTGCCTGAATGTGTCTGCGCTAGTCTGCCACTGGCAGCGGTTTAGAAGAAGTTTACTCTTGAAACACTTACTTTTGATTTGCTTTGTTATGGGTTTTAGTGGTTCCAGCCACACCTGAAATAAGGCAGTGAAGAACTGGGTGAATAAAGAGCACAAAAGACAGGGAATAAAAGCAGCAGCATCATGCTAGAATGCAACACAAAAAAGTTGGCCAGCTCGGCTGCTGCAGCAAGCTGTCCTGCTGGGCAGCCCCACACGGATGGCTATGGATAAACCCCACGGGCTGTGGCTAGCACCAGGGCTTTGCCAACCAGCTTGTTTCTCCCCTCCTCACTCCCATTTTCAAGGGTTTTTTTGGCATCGTGGCAAAACTTTCCATTGAAATTTTCCATCTGGTATTTCAGGGAGGTGGTAGCAAGCCCCCAGCCACGCGGGCAGTTGCTGCAAGGGTGCGGCATGGTGCAGCACCGGGGACCCACTCCGCGAGCCACACTCACGTGGTTCCCAGCCTGGCTGCGAAACTCCAGCCCAAAGTACTCCTTCTCCACAAGGTTGAGGTGGCTGCAGGTGAGGTTGAACAGCCCTTTTCCACAGGATTTTTGCTAGGAAACAAACACATCACGGAAGCAGTGGGTTAGGCAACATCGACAGCAGCAGTGATGGGATTTCAGTGAGATGGGGGAGAAGCGTTAGCTCCCTGCCTTCACCCCAAGAGGACCTGTGGGATTTTTCCTGATCACACTGCAGCAAAATCTTACTCAATAAATGCTGTTGGCTTCAGCATGTGGGACAGGACAGCTGCACACTGCATGCCCCTTACTTCTGTTTTTGGAAATCAGATTCCTTCTCATCACTTCTCTCCTTTATTAAGGAATGTAAACCAGAAAGGAAAGGAAGAGGAAAGAAGGCTTGCTTCTGGCTCATCTTTTGCAACCGTCACTGTCCAGGCAGCTCTACCCTGGCAAACCAGTGAGCAATCCCCGGCACGAGCACCCGCCTGACCCAGGGATGGCTGTGGCAAACGTGCTTGATTAAGAGCAAATGGGAGCACACCTCAAACCTGCGCAGTGAGCCTGTGTGCCCCGACAGCCAGCAACAGGAGTGCTGGGGGCGAGCTACTATTATGATTAATGGTAATTAACAGCAACAGGACCCTGCGCAGATCCTGCGCCTTGGGCCCTGGGTCATCCATGCACTTTAGCAATATTAATTAAGTGGCACTACATGCCAAGAAGGGAGGCCAGACTGTAGTTATTCCCGGTAAACAGAAACACTTGGAGGGTGTTTTGCTTGACTTGTTGCCTTGCTGTGTGACATGGCTGGGGAACAACCCGGGAGGCCCCTGACTTTGGAAAATGCTACAGAAATGAGCAGAAACGAACATGGCAGTGACCCACCCCAGCAAAAGCCCTGCTACTCCTTTATCAAGTCATGAAAAACAGACAAAAAATGAGCGTAGGTCAGTGAAAAAGCAAGATGGAGCAGAGAGGCCAGGTTAGACAGCTGCTAAATCATGGCATTTTGGGTGACGGAGGTGAAGGCAGGCTGCAGCTCCCTGTGCCAGCAGCTGCTCCTGGCAGGGACGGGAGGGACCCCGGCTGCTGGCGGTGATGCATGCTAATAACCACCTTTCGTGGCTTCTGCTGGGATGAAATTGCTGGCTCTGTGCTGAAAGGCTGCTGAAAAGTGATAGCGTAATAACAGCATTTGCTCTGCAGCACTCCGGGTTCTCCTCGAAATTACTAGATCACAAGGGTAATTAAAACAATTATAAATGTTTATTTCCAAGCTAGAATTTTCTAGCATGAAAGGCCTTGGCCTTTGTCAGGCAGCCAGGAAAGACAAGCATTTCTTACCGGGTTATTACCCACCACATGTCTGCTGGGAGCAACCCGCTCTTCTCCAAGCCCAGCACTGCCCAGGGCAGTGAAGACGAGTGGCTCCATCCCCAGGAAAACCTGCTCAGTAGGGAGACACAGCCCTGTGATGCAGGGGATGGTTTAAAAGCAGAGGCTTTCCTCCTGCGGAGTTGTGCTTGCAGGTGCCCCATCCTGGGTTTGTGAGGTACCGATGCCCCGGCCCGCGCGGTCGTGCTCGGGACAGCATCAGGCATGAGCAGGGGGCTGTGCTGGAGGAGCACAGTGCGAGGCAGGAGCATGACATGTGGGGCTGGGGACCCCACATCCGACCCTAAATGTGCCTTCAGTGATGTTGCAGGGCCAGGTTAGCACCCACAGGCAGAAACCCCTGTGTAAAAGACGGTGGAAAGGAGGGGCTGCGCTCACCCCTCCTCTCCACGGTGGAAGCAGCTGGGACTGTAAGCAGGTTAAGAAAGCAAGAGGCACATCCAGAGGAAGACAGCAACGTGTGACACGCAGGGATGCGCACACCCATCCCCAGAGGACACCCTGGCAGCACTTGCGCTCCAATGGCAAAGCCACGTTTCTGCAGCATTCCCTGTAGCACAGGCTGCTGCACCCAGGTCTGTGGTTTAGTGCAGAGTGACAGCTCATGGGATTTGGTGTGATCTTTCCCCACCACCTCAGGACATGTCCCCCAGTCAGCGTCTTCTACATGGTCACAGCTGGCATGCAATGCCATGCACCAAAAGCCACCAACTTCGATGTTCCCCGTGCCCTCGCTGGACCAGCTCGCCCGCAGCCAGCTCTGCACACCTCCTGTCAATGAATTCTCACCTTTACTCATCATAACGGACCATGGGAGACTTTGTCCTTCACTCAGCCCCAGCAATTAGTTCTTCCGGGCTTGTTCGGTTTGCCTTTTCTTTCTTTTTTTCCTTCCCACTGAGTCTTGCCCTGTAGCAAATTCCACTAGCAGAGATGCCTAGGCTTTGTCTGCCCAGGCTGCAAAGTGGTTCACCCCGTCTGTGATGCTCTGGGAGGGCTCCCAAGGCTGCCCAGGCTCAGGGCTGCTTTAAACCCTTTCCAGAGAGAAGAAGAGTGACTTTATGGGCAAGAGCACATGCTAGGTGTCTGGGGGGGGAGGAAAAAGGAAGACAGCTTTGCAATATCTCCTCTCAGTGCAAGAAACCCATTGAAGGCTGACCTGCGACGGTCCCTGCGCCCGGGCACTGGGACAGGGGATCCCAGTGCCCTCCCCGTGCAAGGTGCAGGGCTCACTGGCACAGCTGGCAGCATCCCAGCAAGATCCCGCCCGGGCCATGGCTCAGACCTGGGGTGTTCAGCAGGGAGGGCACAACAGGGGACATTTGGAGATGTGCCAGGCCCCCACCTTCCCCCACCCTGGGGCTCAGACCTGACTTGTCGGTGCCATCCTGGGAACCACCTCCAGCGCCAGCCAAAGGAAACCCTAGGAGCTCAGCAGCTGTGGAGAGGGTGCCGGGTCCCAGCCATTGGTGAGGATGAGGATGAAGGCAGAAGCTTTCCTGGGCCAGCACCCAGCACCGTGAGAGGAACTCATTCCTGTGCAAATCCGGACTGGAAATGAGCCCTTGCTGCACATGCCAGCAGCTGTGACACCCATGTGAGGCAGGTATAGATGCATACACCAAGCACAAGGCAGAAGGGGAATCCGGCCCAATGTGTTTTCTCGCTTTTGTCCTTTTCCCTCCCATTATACTGAAGTACTGCACATTCAAAAGAGCTTTCCAAAGTCAGGAGCGGTATAGGAACAGTTGCTTGAAATAGCTGCTCAAAACTTAGCCCAAAGCAGTCCTTTTATAAAGGAGAAGTCACTAATTCAACTACTCATTTATTGTACCCATACAGCATCAAACGCATGAAATGCCTAAAAGGGGTTTCCAATACAGTTCCATGCTAAAAAGGGAAATGACCAGGAGTTCCTCTAATGGAAGCTATTTGCTGCAATAATACTTTGTGCAGAGCTATAGTGCTGTAAGTGTTTTGGGCAAATAAGAAAGCAGAGATGGAAAAAAATGCAGCAACATTGAACCAGCAGCATGGTTTAAATTGTCTCTCACTATGCCCTGATCTAATCAACATGGAAAAAAAAAAAAAAAAGGCATTTTAAAATAATGAGTCTCATTTTTAAGCTGACTTCAGGTCTAGGATACATTAATTAAACTAAATCAAACAACTTCCATACTGTGCCAAGGGATCAAATTGCTTTACAATCCTCTTTTGTGAAAAATGCTATCGCAAAGAAATGGAGCAGTGCATTTGAGACTGAGCAGTTCTCAGGCTATGCTATAAAACCAGAGGCCAGGACAGCCTAAGAAATGTAACAGAACTTGAAAAAAACAATTTTATATTAAACACTCTGGTCCCACAGGAGATGCAGGTAAGTGCTAGAACAGCTCTACTTGAATTAGCTAATTCAATTAGCTACGGTGATTATCAAATCCTAACCAACTACTGCTGCTCAATCACACTTGCAAAAAGATGTGTTTCTAACACATAGTCAAGATAGATCTACTTTCGGTTATCTCTATACATACATATATATTAAAAAATCTAACACCATAGATATTAATACTTAACATTTAAAACCTATTTCAGAGTTAGTATTTATTAAATGTGAATTATTAATGACAGTGTGTTGTGGGACACTGTCACGCAGAAAATAAGATACAGTGAGTTTTTTTCCTCAGCTAGTCACAAAAACAGTTTTCTTTTTCAACTGAATGCCCAAGAAGAGATGCATGCAGATGTTTCTCACCAGGGGTAATTTGGTTAAATAAGCTATTTTTATTCTGGTCCCAGATTTTTCTTCCTTGTTGAATGCTTATACTGGCAGCCAGACAAATAAGAACTTGGTACGTGTCAAGAACATCACTTCATATTACCTGATTTCCAAAAGATGACACCAGTAAAGAAAAGCCATTCCTCCTCCTTTATAAATAATGCCAATAAGAGGGAAGAGCAGGAGTGTGTTGATGCTGAAAGACACTTAGCAATCAGTGCTACCACCTTTTTGGGGGGAGGGGGGGGGTGTTGGGGTTTTTTTGCTTTGTTGTTGTTGTTTTTAAAGCTGAAAACCAGAAGCTATCAGAGACCATGCAGTCCTACAGAGCAGCAACACCTTCATTAATTAGCACAAAAATCCAATAAGAATACAATAGCCACTTACATCAACTACAAAGATCTTCTGGGAGTCATCCAGAAACTGGACTTTCAGGTGCAGCATCCTCGAGCATGTGGCTGAGCGTGCGGCAGGCGCGGGAGTCCTAGCGATGTGAGCGGTGCACCGGGAAGGGAGCCCTGACTCCTCTTGCACACATAATTTCCCTCTCAGGGGGATGGAGAAGGCTGCAGTCACAGATGTGGAGTGGAGGCTGGAGCAAAGGAAATAAATGCCTAAAAACAAGTTTAAAAAAAAAATACTGATATCTCCCCTGGTTGAAATATCACCACTGTGTTAAAGGATATTTTCCCCCTGTGAATTAAGGGTGTATTGATAGGAGAAAGGCTGTGCAGCAGCTCTGCAAGGGTGGCACTAATGGGGCTGAGATAAACACTGAGCTTTTACAGCTGCCTGTGAGCAACGCGAGGGCAAAGCAAGCCCATGCTTCATACCGCAGGGTCAGGGAAGAGGCGAGCGGCTCTCCTGCCAAAGTCACTGAGCAGCGAGCATCACATCTGGTCTGGTTAAGGTGTAGCGAGTCTTGCACTTGCCCCATGAGGTGGGCAGGTAAGTTCCTATCTGCTGAGCAGATGTGTGCAGACCTGGCCAGTGGGCTGAACTACTCGCTGGAGACTGGGAAATGTTTCCAACTGAACTTGAAACCAGGTGGGAGTCCTTCCCAGGGAGGCAGAAGAGGACCTGCTGCTAATTCCTGGCTCGCACACTGTTTTGGAAGCTTAGTGAGGTCTCACAAGCCTTTGAGACAACCTGGTTCCCGTTTCACACCTGAAAAGCCCACGTCCCCACACACTAGCTTGTCCTCCAAGTGCCGTTGCCCACCCTCGAAACCCCCCGGGGCTCAGCCCAGGCTGCTGGGTGCAGCCTCCCCCCAGCATGGCGGGTGCCTGGGGCTCGCCCTCATGCTCTTTCTCTGCCCCAGCTGCTGCAGGGCGGTGGTGAACTGCCTGACCTCTCTGGCCACTCTTGTCTGGCAGAGCCCCCCTCCCTGAGCATTTGGATGAAGGCAGCATTTGGGCAAGAGCCCCCACTTGCAGAAATAAATGCACTGAGTAGTGCCAAAAGGCAGGCACTGGACTGTCATAGGGGATTGTTATTGCTGCTGCTGCTGGAACAAGTCTGTGGGACCCAGAGAGATGGAAATGCATCCCAGCAAACTGAAAAAGCCACATTAAGTGCTGCAGAGATTTTGCTTGTTGCTTCCTTCCTGGTTTCCAGTGAAACATCCACTGTAAGTCACTCCAAGCCATTTGCTGTGGTCCCTCTTATGCCTCTCAAATATTCCTGGGGATGTCAGGACAGAGCTTGTCAGGGTACACACTTAGCTTGCCATCTGGGCTGCAGAGAGGAAAAACATAGAGCTTTTTAGCTATAGAAAAACTGATCAGTCTTCTACTGCCTGGGACAAAAAAGAAGCAAGGTTAAAGCAAATCTGCTTTTCCGTGTGAATCTGCGCCACGAAGCAGCTGAGCTCATCTTCTGCCAGTGGCCAGGACGGGCTGGCTGTACCAAGTGTGCAGGCACCGCATCCGAGGACCAAACTTCCAGTGCTGCCGTTGGCCCGGGGTCAGAGCTCTTTGTGTCACTGGAGAAGGGCTGTGTGACGTACGAACTGTCTGGGGGGCTGAGTGCACTTTCTCTCTACAGTTTTAAGTGTTCGTGCCATCAAACACTGATCAGCATCAAGGAGAAGAGCAGAAGAACAGCACTCCTGTGAGTGGCTCGCACGTTGCAGGCACAACTCCGCCACAGCAGCACTGGGAGCGTGGCAGGAGCACTGGACCAGCAGGAAGGATGCACAGGGGTGCGATGGAGGAGCCTCCAAATGGCAGAAACAGCCAAACCTCCCTGCTACAGGATTTCCTAGCATGCTGGGGGCACTGACCCTGGGCTCCACGGATGCTATTAGAAGCCAAGCACCAGCCAGCTGGGTTGTGGGTGGGAGAAAAGGGGTTTTTCATTACCGTGGCATGAAGGAAGGGGACTGTACTGGGTTTAGCAGGGCCTCTAGCCACCCTACAGAGGCATTCATGCAGACAGTGTGGAGCCAGCAGAGGCAAAGAAGGTAAATGAGGACTTTTTTGGAACAGGAGATTACTCTCTGGGACAGCCAGAAGAGATGCAACCTGGCTTGTGGGGATTGTTGCTGAGAGCAGAGGAGATCCACTGCCTCAGCAGACAAGAGACCCCACCTTCTTCTGGAGGTGACTTTGGGGCTGTCCGGAGCAGGACACATGGGGAGCACCAGCAGCAGCAATCCTGGCGCCCGGCCTGAGTCAGTGCTGACCTCCAGCCATGCACGTATGTCCTCCTTATCCACAGGGGCAGAGAATAATATGAAAATGGTGTGGGAAAGCACAGAAAAGGTGAAGGGTGAGAGCAGCCATACCGGCAGGCAGGGAGGGGACCTGGAGCAGCAGCACGGAAGCACTGCAGGGTCTGAGCAGCAGCATGTTGGAGTGAGTACTGCTCCAGGGCTGCTTGCTCAGCCAGCTCGGCCCTTGATTTTTAATACTCTGGTCCCCACTACCACCATCCTGCATTGTACCAGCTCTCCCAAGGGGACTTCAGTCCACCAAGTGCATCTGACCCCATATTAGGCTGGATGACATTGCCTCAAATCAGGGTCTTCTTCAGCCTCTCAAATACCCTGGTGTTTGCCAGGATGGACTGAGCAGAGCAAGAAACAAGTCTCCTTCCTCCCAAACCCCATTGCCCCTTTGCCAAGGTGAATTTTCACACCAGTCTTTAGGGTTTGCTCATCCATTCCCCTGTTGGCCCCGGAAGCGGGGGCAGCCTGCAGGATGTCTGACGGAGAGCTGAGTCACTGCGGTTACGCTCCACAGAGCCTCCCGAAATGGTGAGCCACTGGCACCGGGCAGCAAGTGAGTTCAGCAGTCTTCCTCCAAAAGGGTTTGCTTTGGGCCCTGACGATGGGCAAGGAAATGCCCCAAACCTTCCCAGTGCCTCCCAGAGTCACTCCTGAGAGAGGAGCAGGCTCTGAGAGAACAAACTCTGGCAGAGGAGATGCATAACGTGCATGAGCACCCGCAGCTGCGAGGTGCCTGGCAGAGGCCTGGCCCCCAAGGGAGCGCATGCTGCTTCCCCTGCATCACTGCGCTCACAGCTCCAGCGCTGCTGTACCGTGAGCTTTGCCATGGCCAGCTTCAGCTTCAGAGGAGAGGAGAAGGAGAAGGAGAAGGAGAAGGAGAAGGAGAAGGAGAAGGAGAAGGAAAAAAGGAGAAGGAGAAAAGGAGGAGGAGAAGGAGAAGGAAAAGGAAAAAAGAAAAAAGAAAAAGGAAAAAGGAAAAAAAGGAAGGAAAGGATGGCTAGATAAAGTCATGGAATAGAGATGTGTCAGGGGATTTTAAACACCATAGTCCAAAAGGCAAGAAGCTGTACCCAGCTCATTGCTGAGAAGGAGAAGCACTCATCCTGCTTTCACACTCAAAGCATTTGCTGGTGGCAGCTGCCAGAGACAGGGACTCACGTAGGTGGACTTTGGTCTGTGGTGGCCTTTCATATAGTTACATTAGACCTCCTCTTCCTCTGCTGGAGCTGCTGGGAGAACATCCACATTCACGTCTCACCCAGCCATAGCCCTCCCAACTGCAGGGCCAGCAAGCAACACGGCTGCTTGCCTGCTGTCGCTGGGAGCAGGCTCAGGCACAGCCAAATTCCTTCTGAACAGCACTAGGCACGTGAGAGGAGTATCGTCAGCTGGGTAATAAATCCAAGGCACCACACGAATACTGCAAAACAGGGAATTTTCTTTCCAGAATAGGGTACCTACAAACTTCCTG